TGCGAGTAATCAAATCAAATGAAAAATTTAACAACTAGTTTCGTTTTTATCTATAACTTTTTTCACCGAATGTCAACCAGTGCATCAAGACATAGTAGGTTGGAGTTATAACTGGAATTATTTGAAATTCACAGTTGGAGTAGTAAGAAATATTTTAAAAAGCCATAGTGCATTATGTACTATATATTTGACTATATCTGGCACTACCAGATGTCTGGCCAACATATCTGCATATAAGACCGTGAAATACCATGAAGTCTAAACAGCCTCCCAACTGGCTTACAACAATATTACTATAAGTCACATTAAAGATATGTTATATATTGCTTGGGGGTTGGGGAGTGAACATACAAGGTAAAGTGTCTGAATGCATTTAACATGGTAAATACCAGTGCGATACTTGTCACTGTTGTCTCCAAATTGACACACGGTCTTCACGTGGCCCCCTCTGGATAGCTACAATCATCCATGCGTAATGAAGTATATAGTATTCTTTGTCATCTTTTTCACAACATAACTATTCTAGTTATTCTTTTTTAGGAGAACTCAAGGTTCTGATGAAAGATGTTTAATTTGATTATTCTGTGTTATTAACCGTAGTCTGGTAATCGATTTACTAGTATATAAAAATATATAATATCTGAAAAGAAGAAAGAAGAACTATTCTTCTGACCATTAATCATTAAAGCGTTTTTTTAATTCTTCAATTACAAATTAAATAGTTAGTGACAGCTATGTATCTGAAATTGCACATGTTCACTATGTCCCGACTTCAACTAGCAAATAATGGTGCAACAGTTTCGATTTATCCAATATTATCCAATAGTATCATTGTCACACATAAGATACTGTTAATTGAGAAGACATGCGGACTGGTTAGGGTAAAGGACACTTTTAAACCACCACCGTCGAGGTGTGAGTTAGAGAAATATGAAAATGTCACTTAACTACTCTGTTGCACTAAAAGTAAAAGTATGTTTCAGAATGATTTATGTGTCTAGCGTCATGATTAGTTATTTAATATATGTACTTTGAATATATCGACGAAACTCAACTCAACTTAGGTGGAATGGTTTAATATTGATTGCTTATACTAACTATAAAATTAGTGTATTGTAGCATTCAGTTATTCTTTCCAAGAGTAATTAGGGGACTACATTGTGACCTATATATTTTCCATAGGAGTGTAGTAAGAAACTTTAAGTCAGCACTTATATTAAATTCAAAGTTTAATTGATTTTCTATTGATTTCAATCATCAGAGTTTCAATTAATTTCTTACAGTCACAAAACGAGGGCTATTTTCTTAATGTTATCTAATTTTTTATGCAACGTAAATGGGTCAAGTACATAAAATTTTTTTGATAATTTTCAATTTTCACATGTTCGTTTGTTGAATGAAATACCCTCAATAAAATAGCACTGTGCTCACTGTAAAATAATTATTATGAGCAAGTAAAAATATCAAGCGAATTCCTATCAGACGGAAAGACGTTCTGAAATTCTAGAATAGACTTCATTAATTTATTTACAGCGAGCACATTAAACACTTTCCGCTTCAACTTTCATATAAATCATATAATTATAAAATACTTAGTATCCAGTTTAAGAATACTAGAGATAGTCTATCAATCAAAGGGAAACTAAGTAATTTAAAGCAAAGTTGATGAAAATGTTGTATAGAAGCGTAAATTATAAATATATTTATTTCCATATAAAAAAATTAAACACATCAATGGTCTGAGATATAGCTTTTCCGAATAAATAACATTTTGCATATCAACATAATCTTTTTAACGCGTTCAATACACCTTAAAAACTTTAATGATTTGCCGAGGTTCTCAAAAATGACATTATTTGCTTTGAAATTCTCATACTCACATCATCATCTAATATAATCTTTACGTTTTTTAATTCCTTTTTTTACAGCTGCATTTCCAGCCATCAGAACTGTAGTTAATGTTATATTAACAGCTTATTTATATCTGATAAATAAGAGCAATACTAGAAAGTTTTCATTGCTCTACTAGAAATATTGACACTCCAATAGGAATATGTATGATGTACTAAAAATATTATCGTTATTTTTTGATAATATTACTAATGGTTTTGTCGTCAGCCAAAAATCGTCTTCTTTGTAATGAAAGTCTTGAATTTTGCCCCTTGAAAGATTGCCTCTACTGCAATTATTCTAAATAAATAGTTTTATTTTTTTATAGTTACAAGAGCATTTCAATCTACCTTCATTGTTATTGGATGATCGATGTTGATGTCACTGAAAACTGTCATAATATTTATTATCAAATTGACAAAAATACAAAAGATACTCTTCAATATCATTAGAACTCCGATGTAAAAATAATTAGCACAATTCTTCACAGTGTATCAGATGTGAAATAATGGGAGAATTAATCAACAGTTCTCTTTAACTTACATTTGTACTTTGCTATGAAAGACTTCAAAGTTTCGTGCAACTAATATTAATCCTTTCAAGCGTACTAACTTGAAAAATTTTCTACCTTAGCTAAAAATGTTGAGGTCATATTTATGTTTAGAAAAAATATATGATGTTATCCTGAAACATCAACCTATAAGCACGTGTTTAAAAACGGCAGACGAACGTGCGCCGTACAGTCAATCTGGACTGTATATCAGTAGCAACAAAAAATTGAGGATATCTACGTAAGGATATCTACTGACTCAAGAGATATGAGATCGATTAATTGGAGAAGTAACAAGGAGAATAGAAAAATAGTGAAGAAAACAGTAAAGAAAATCAAAACACATCCCAAATTGAAGAGCTTGAAGAACATGAATATATATAGATGTATAGATTATTGATACTCTCTTAAACTACGTATATAGACATTTGTTGTAATAGATTATACAATACAGTTCACACATTATATGGTAGTTTTCATAGTGAGAAAATCTTTAAATTATTAATTTGATTACAGATTACAGATTACATATAAATTCTTTAATCAATTTGTAGGCGTTTTTGGGTTCAGTACGGAATATATTGCCGAAAGAAAATCCATTTGCTTTGACAGTTTCTTCACAATAATACAGCCTACGGCATTTGGTTTTTTTTTTTTTTTGTGGATAAAAGTTAATATAATTTTCTTTAATATTATAAAATAATGCTATTTCGTTTCATTTTGAAACTTTAAATATCGTAAAATCTATTTTGTTGGTATTTGCTTTTGCTTTTTTTTATGGGACCACAAATCATTTTCATAAAATGAAATACGCTCATCACATGAACCGCTCGGGTATTCTTTCTTATGAAAACTTAAAAATTTTTATTATATGCACATTCTATTTTTATTGCATATTTCGAAAAAGAGCAGCACCAGTTTCAATAGCAACTAAATAATCTTATTACCGCGTTTTTACATACAAAGGCCGAATATGTCAACGCCAGATACGAGTACGTACACAAGTCCGCATGTACACACGCTTTATACGCCTCATACGACTCATACGCCTCACATACCTTACTTCTCGTCTGATTATGTTGTTTGAGTAACCTAAAAAGGCAGCAAACCACGAACTCGTAAGAAGACACTTGCCAACAGATGGAATAGAATGGAAAGTGTTGTCCAGATTAAACACTGAAACTGAAAATAGTTTGACAGCAGATATGAGGCAATGAAAGGAAAATATTAGCATTCCAGAGAAAAACATTTATCAGACCGTAGTATGACAAGTTGTGAAATACATACTTCCCTCCCAACTCAAGTGTGCAATTGCACGTGTGCTGTATCTTATATTGCACTTCGAAATTAGTACTGCAGTTGATAGATTGAGCGAATCGTAAAATGAACCATTCACCTGGGCGAAAGCAGTAATTACGTAGCGTAGTAATTACTTTTAGCAACCTGCATGGATGATGAACTGTCAGGCAATGACAATCGTTATAATTGATATGTTTTGCATAGATTACGGTTTTTAGCAATAGCTGCAGCCTTCTTTCCTTTCATGCATACTACTTTAATTTCTTTAACTTTTGGATAGCTTTAAATAGGGCTCTTATACGCTCTTATACTTATTTCATACTTCAGCTTTTACGTACATATCGAGTTACAAATGCGTGAACAGGTGAGAAAGCCACTTTAGAAAGAAAAATGTTTTTTATAACGTATAAAGAACAGTTTAGAAATCATTTAGTGAATAGGTAGCCTAATACCGCACAAAACTTAAAAATTTAAATGCAAATACGGAACTAAACCTACTAAAAAAATTAGCTGCTCAAATCAGCTGGTGAAGTGGCAGGCCCCATATACCTCAATTAGAGATTTTTCGCCGTTCGCAAGGACTTCTAGTATAGAAGAGTATAGTTTAAATCTATTCTGTTGAATTTAGATAATTTAATAGGTCTTTCGTCTTTATTGATGAACAAAAAAACTGTCAAAGAACTATCTTCCTAAAAATCTATTTTTTCTGGACTTCAAAGTCGGGCATTCACAGAGAAAGTGTTTTATGGTTTCTCTACCCAACAGGTTTATTGGTTGATTACTCAAAACAATATAGTCGACTTTATGCGTGATATGAATTAGATGCCTAGTACAACGTACAGTAAAGTCGATGTAATATCACTTTCAAATTCATTTGCTGTATTATACAAAATCGTAATTATTTTAGAAAAATCCTACCTCCCACTTTTTTTTCTCACCCCAATCGTATTGAATTAGTAGTTGACCTATTGCGATAGATACTCATTTGAAGTTTGGAAATCTAGACAAAGTGTTGCTGCTGTTAAATTAATCTAGTTTAAGGAATATTTTCTTTTATTTCCTGAAGTGCTTTCTATTTAAAATAATCAGGCAAATGAAAAGCAAGTGATTACGTATTCATATATACAATATCTGGTGGCACTGACTACAACTTGCTAACTGCTGAAGTAGTTTATAAATATTTTTGATCAAGTTAATAAAGCAAATTTTGTTTAATTTAAAAATATTTAACAGTCAAAATATTTAAAAAAAAAAAAATTAGAATTTTTGGAATTCTTACGTTAACGATACAAGAACCTCACTGAACTCTTACGAACGGAACGGTTGTCCTAACTATCAAAAATAGAGCGTCACTAAAATTTAAAAATTGTATCATCACAACGAAAAATATATCTTTCTAATTTATATATTTTTTCTGAAAAGCCGATAACACATGTATTTTTATATAAGTATATATCTAAATAAATCACACTTCAATATCCGTCAGTTAATTAATATCCAATTTTATTCTTTTTCAATCTACTTTTTTTTAGATAACAATAATTATTAAGCCTCACGGTTAAAGATAATCTTATAGGAAAACATGAAGATGGGTTCTCCAGCTATTAAACAACACAAACGTTCCAGCAAATCCTCAAATATCAGCATGTCGACTTCGGAGGTAAATGAGAATTTTGTCGAATCGAAATTCTTTAGCTGGATGCGACTATTTCGATTTGCTTCCCTGCTTTGCCGTGCCGAATAATAGGCGTAACGCATATACAAAACTATGGTCCTCTATTGGGTTATACTGTAAGTGACTGGGGAGTATAAAAACAAGTGTTTGTTAAAAAGAAACAGTACACTAACTCAGACCATGGCAAAATTTCTAAAAGAATTTCAGAAATTTATTTAAGAACTTTAAGTGCAAAATTTATTTTACATTGTTTTAACTTTTTATGCTTCAAATAAGCAATTTTTTAAAAATTATATATAATTTTGCCTGATCGAATTTGAAATAGTCAATTTTGTGTGAAAGCAACAAATATCAATGCATTTCGCATAACTTAATTATTAATTAAATATTTAAATTAAATGCAAGTTTTTTTTAATTCTAAGATTATGTATTACGCACCACCGGTTCAAGAATATGATATATGAAAGGTATGTTGCCATACCAATTCCACTCGTATATACATAGAATTTAGTCATGCCTATCTGTTAGCAAACCAACTTTTTGTGATATTATTATCAATACCGTATCTAATAGCGACACGTCATATCTTGCCCGATTTTTGATTTAATAGTTTAATTAGCGACAATTTTGAATCCTTCCTTCAACGGAAAACATATTCCGGTCTTCGAGATCAAAAGAGCAGTACTTGTGTGGTGATACTTTTTTGTTGTTATTATTTTAGCTTGCATTATTAATCTTAACATAGTTATAAAACCTTCATAAAAATTTAATCTTATTAATAAAAAAATTTCTTATAGAATCGTTACTATTAAAAGTTATTTCAAAGATAAATACGAATACAAATACAAATACAAATACAAATATTGTTAAAATATGAAAGCATGGTCTCATTCTAGAATGCGTAGACAAGATCAGTTTATTTACTATTCCAAGTAGCTATAATCTACAATAAAAGTTAAGGAGTCGTGTATATTTATGCGATTTTATATATTATATATACAAGACATAGACAAGTACATAGTACATAGATTATCCTGTTTACATAAACAATAGATACAATAACCTAAAATTATGCATTTAGAGCTAAAAATGTTGCCAATTTTGTCGATTTTACAATAAGCGAACAAAATATTACTAAAGAAATATCGATTTTTTTAATTAAAGTTGCATGTTTTATTGAATTCAATTTACGAGTAATGCATAATTACAAACATCGTTTAATTACTAATTAGAGTCCTTAAATATAAATTAAACAATAAAGAAAATTGTAATCTAGACATTTATAATTATTTAAATAATGTCAAATAATTAAAATGTTAAACGTTTAATAAAATATAGAAATAGCAATAAAACAAACTATTGTTAACTAAACTTATACAAATTTGTTGTTTTGAATTGATTGCTTTTTCTATTTATAATACATACATATACATTGTATAAAAAATATTTATATATATACACATGTAACTAATTTCACGAAATCCAGCTTACTGCCAAAAAACGAAAATGTCCATCGCTGAACCTAATCGATTTTAGACTCGCATGTGTTGAAGTACATGAGAGGACAAGTGGTTCCAAGAACTGTCAAATCTACGTCCCGGAGCCAATGACGTATTTGATGATCAAGTACCGTTCACTACACTCAAATGGGACTACACAAACGAATCGCTACGGGTTACAACAAAAACATAAAGGAAAACTTGAGAAGTCAAAAATAATAATTGTCCATCTACTGCTCATCTAGTCAGAATTTAACATTGCGAAATAGTCAAAAGGTAATGTCTCGTAGTTATTAATTCAAATACGTGAGTAACGTGGGCATGTTATGAAGAGAAGTTCTAGCAGACATTTAACATCGCGGAATACTTAAAATATTATTGTGATGTTATGGAAAGCAATCGCGGTGTATTTGTCCCGCAGGCTTAAGTCACAAGAAATCATAAACCGCGAGTAGTGCATATTATTGTGAAATCATCGCAGAGAAACGCTTTGGACGATTTGTAGATTCAGCTAACTCGACCACGATTGTTTTCAATAACTGCACGAAGATATATTGATTATTCCGACTATTATATGCAAACTCAATATGACTATATAGTCAATTGTCAATATGACTATATTGACTATTATTTTCAGGCCTGGATATGAAATAGTGTTTTATAATTGGCATAATTTTTTTTATTATAAACTTGAGTTTTGAATACCGTTTGTCATAAAAGAAGTTTGCAAATTTAATAGAAGTTTGACAAAAATATGATAAAAATTTGGTTCGAAACATGTAACAATAACGAAAGTAGGGAGAGTGAGTATGAGATAACAGTATCAGTGATCTATTAGAACACTTTGATTTCCTTGAATTGTTATTCATCAGTTGATGTTGATAGTCATCCTGGGCGAATTTTGTGCTCAACGTTTTCTTTATTTATTATAAATTGCTTATAGCAATTGTTAACTTTTTTTGTGAGATGCTTGCCGCCGAATTCTGAAAACTTAATGCAACTACTTTTGCTTTTACATTAACATTATCATCTATTTATTGACACGAAATTTGACAGAGATGTCAGTGACAGTACGTAAGCATGGACTGATACAATATATGCTGCAGTGACTTTTTCTATAGAGCAAGTAAGTGTGTTGTGAAAACTTAAATTAATTCAGATACCTCTACTTTGTTTTTGTAGAAAATTCGTGAAGTTAGTTCCGCGCATATATTTAATGCTGGAAATAAATAAATAATTGTAAACTAATTCGTAAATATTTAACAGAAATTGCACCAAATAGCAATGTTATTGGTGAAACTAACACTACAACCGAACCTATATATTTATATATATTTTTTATTAAACCAAAACGCAAAAATTGCAGTTTTAAGGTGTGAATTGTTTCGTTCTTCTTCATAATAAATTTTCTATAAAGGAGTTGTGAGCAATACAAGTTTTATGGCAGTATCTTGAACAGCATATTGTGTAATAATTTGTACATTTTTACAATTGCTTTTATTTATCACAGTCACAAATTAAGCAAGACAAAGGGATTAATAAATTCTAAATAGTAATAGAAATTTCAATAGATTTTAATGAAATTATTCAAATAAATTCCCTTAAAGCAAATATAATAATTATACCATTCAATTTAAGTAAATTTTAACTTTATCAATTAAACAAATCATAAATAAATTATGTAATTTTTAATATGAGGAATGAAAACGGTAGGTTATACTTTTACAGATCTAAATAGAAGTATTAATGGAAATTAGAAATATTTATGGATATTTGCGATAGACATTTTCGATTTTTACTCAGATCGCATAAGTACAAATATACAAACGAACTAAACATACTTATACTATTATTGATAAAAATGCTTAAAAATATATATTAGACATCGATAACATTTACTCAAAAAGTTGTTATGTACTACTAAAATATATATATAGATATATATGTATATTTGTGTATATTAGTAACTTATTTGAATTTTAGCTTGCTTCGTAGGAATTTGTATTACATAAATTTGTAGTTGATGATTTTGGAATTGTGGAACCAATTGTTTTTATAGACCTACAAATAAATTTCATTTAATACGAAATTCAATTGTTCTATATTTTGGAATGTTATCTCACTTATTGTTTATGATCGACTTCTTGTGCGTCTTCTATGTCTGTGGCGATTACTATATGAGTATCTATAAGAAAGTTCGCGTATTTGTGTAGGATAACGACTACGGCAGCAGCAGCAATGACGTTTAAAACGATGATGCTCTGGATTCTTATGACTAACTGGTTTAGAGTAACTAAGAATAGACTATTAGAAAAGAAACTGTTATTATAGTCGATGGGACCGACTATTGGAATTCACACAGCTCAAACTCATCATTCTATATATAAAATGAATCATTTACAAACGTATAGTTAAATACTTACAGACTATTTAACTGTTTTGTACAACGACCCATGTAAAGACCTGGTGTGGGTGAATGTGGACGTTGTGTGAATGAGTAATCAACTCTAATTTTGCGTCCATCGATGTCAATACCGTTTAGAGTTTTTTTAGCTAGTTTCGCATCATCAGTGCTAATGTAGTAAATAAAGCAGAAGCCTCGAAATAAACCAGTCTAAATGATAAACAAAAATATAAATAAAGGTTTAATAATAATATGCTTCATTGATTTGTTATACTATAATCTTCTTACCCTAGCATCTGTTATAAAGTTGAAATTTTCTATTGGTCCAAATTTGGAAAAAAGTTCAAATATGTACTTTTTCTTTGTGAAAATATTCATGCCGAAAACTCCGATACAACGACTAACAAAAGATTTTCCCTGCAAGTTGAAATGGGAAAATGATAACTGCTGATATACTTGTACGGAAAAGTGAAAAGTACTTACTACTGTAGTGACACATCTGTAGGACACATTTGAGCTTGATTTGCTATAATATGGAATAAGAAAAATCTTAATATATTATATAAATGCAAATTGTTAAATAAATTGATATGTACGAGTATAAAAATAACAAGCAGGCTCTAGAACTAGAAGAACGGCGAGGTCAACGTCCCAGAGCCGCTCGCCTGGTTTAGTGACCAAGTGCCGTTACCCACGCACCAGCATCCAAATCTTCTCCCTATTCCCGCTTCCACATCTTCAATCACCACCCATCCACATCCTAATCCAGCGGGTTACAACAACAACAACCAAATGTCATTCATCACACGAACTTATATATGCTGAATTACATTGAGAGCTGAAAGTTAACCAAGTAACCACAAAGTTGTTGATCTATTCAAATGCTGAATTGTGTTTTCGATTGAGTGTTTTTTTGCATACGAATGCGAAGTCTTTACGTCGTAGCAGAATTATTAGAAAGTATGACATTTAAAAAAATTTTTTTTAAGGAATCAGAAGTACTCGTCGTAGCAGAAATTTAATAAAATATAAAGAACTGGAGTCATATTGGAATTTATAAACGAAATATATATATATACAGTTAAATTTTCATAACTCGAATTTTCTATTATTCGAACCAAAAACAGTGCGCTAAGATTTTAGAGAGCAAATTACATACAATTCTGCTTTCATAACTCGAACAAAAATTTTGTTCCGTGCCGATAGGAATATGGGAAAGTGCATTTTATAAATCGAATTTTTGTTATAAGTATAAATGCATTTTGCTGTTAGAGGAAGTCCCTTTTTCCAAACCAAATGTGTAATTTTTTCTTTCTTATGTTGCTTCTTTGTGCAAATGTCAGTCACTGGCAGCGTGGTTTAAAGTAAATAAAATAATTTCCAATGCTACTCTTAATGATTATATTAAGCTTTACAATGAAATTTGTACATCAAACTTTTTCCTACAGATGGCGATATTATTGAGCATACTGGATTCAATTCTAAGCGCAACGGAAAGTGATGATGAGGGTTCGGTGGATGTAATTTTTTATCAGCATTCCAAGAATGAAGTAGAAGACTCATTCAAAATTTTGAATTTATATTTGCAAACGAATGATACTACAACTAATAGTGATAAGAGTATGAATAAAGTGGAATCTCTTTTTACTGAAAATAAGAAAAAAATTGAAGTCCCAAACCATAATTTCTAAATATTTTATTTCACTATAACTTCTGTGCTTTATTTGATTGCAAATAAATAAATAAAAATGTAATTCTAGTTTGTTTCAAAAATAAAAAAAAAATAAAAAATTCTCTAACTCGAAGTCTTCATAAGTCCAAACTTTGAACTTCGAGTTATGGAAGTTTGACTGTATATATTATATATTCACATAGACATCGAAAACTATTTAATCTGTTAGCATTTCTTATGACATAGCATCATGAGAGTTCGCAGCTGTTACTTCTATAGAAAAGTCTATCAAGTCCAAGCCATCCAAATAAACTCTCCGGAAGCATGAACCCACACATATTGTAAAATCGTATATCTTTAAACCGACATCGATAGGATAGGCATGTTGCATTTATCGTACTAAAACGTTTCACAATTTTATAATCCTATTGTGTAGTACACGGTTTTAGGTGAACTTTATATAGCACACTAAGGCCTTTCTAAATATTAATAATTTTTGCAATACTTTTCATTTGGTTTAAAATTCATCTGGATTATGTGTAGGCTACTATGCATGGCAGACTTCGAAGACTATACTCAATGCATAATTTATTGCTTAGCGGCGAAAACAGGTTGAAATTATTAAATATGTTTTCGAATCTTATTCACCATAAATTGATCAATTTATAAAACGTTATTGAAATTCGTTTCCTATTCAATCAAAATTCTGTTGGAATTACCTTAATGTACTACTTTCGGAACTGGAACGTCTTACAATTCTTTCATGCTTAGGTTCTTCATATCGGTGTCTGTGATGATGGTGTCCACTTCGATATTTTACAGTTTTACTATAAATGGATTGTAGCTCTTTAACAAATGTCAAAATAAACAAAGCATTTACTTACGGATAGTTTTTCGACAGCTTCGAACTAGAAGAAGCACCTGATTCTGTGCTGATGCTGCTTAATTTGAAACTCATTTTGTTTGAGAAATCATTTATTTCTTTAATCTGGTACAAAAAATCAAATCTTGGTCTAATTTATTAAAAATGAAATTGACTACCAACACAAAAACTCCGATAATTACAATAAAATGAAAACTTTGCTTAATGAAACTATAGACAGATGCTGTGTGGACTGTGGAATACGATCCACATACAAACAATTGACATTTCACAAGTCTTTATAAAATAAGTTGAGTAGATGCGACACTTCCATTTTTAAATTATTGTACGAAAACATATATAGTTGGATTTCATATGATTTTTAACAGAAATCATCTATAGTTAACTTTAAAAATTTTGTTTTATTTTTTAGATATTCATTGAAACATTAATATTTAAATATTTATAGTAAGATAAATTAATAATATTATGGACTTATGATATTTTACATGATTTTCAGAGTTGCTAGTTAAGTGTTTTGATTCATGGTCTCATTTCAATAGTTTTCGGTTCAATAACAATTCTCTAAATACTCGAAACCTAATTGATATGGTCATATTGAAACAGTGGCGTAACTACAGGGAAGCAACTGGAAGCAACGCTTTCGGGCCCCCGAATTTAGGGGGCCCCACTGTAAATGTTTGTAAACGTTTTTTGTTGGAATAACTTCATATTGCATTTTATAAAAGATACGTACATTTTAAATTTAAAGTACATAATATGTATGTACTTCAAATAAAATATTAAATCTATTTATAAAATAAAAAAGTTTTTCTAAGAAAAGTATGTGTCTTAATCGAGAGTTTATATGGAAGCTATATCTAGATTTATACCCATTTGAAAATAATTTTGTACGTTGTCTTTTGCAAATATCAGTACTGTATACACTAAATTCTATTTAAATACCTTTATTAAAAACGGATAAACCTCATATCCGATTGTTAAGTTTATATCACAGCTACAAGAAATAGACGTCCAATTTCAATCAAATCAAATGGTGAACAGGGTCGGCTAAAAGTGTGTGTGTAAAGTTTTATTCGAAGAGTTCAAAAGCTGAGAGAGTAGTTTGAACTGATACTGTACTGATATATACTTAATGGTATTTCCGACGTTTCCTTTAATACGTTACGAAAATCTTGACAAACCTTATATACCCTTTTCACATTTTTCGTGTAAAGAGTGTAAAAAGAGGGGCCCCTTAGTATGTTGATAGGGGCCCTTTAGTTAGAATTTGCTTACAGGCCTAAAAAATGTAGTTACGCCACTGTATTGAAAATAATTAAACTGATGAATTAGTTAAATTCATCTAATTAATGTTATTAATTAGATATGTCAAAAGAAGTGAAATGATGAGAAAAAAATTTAGGATTATTCTTTGGTTAAATCACACAAAATAATCATATTCAAGTGTACACTCATGGAAAAATTAATTCCATTGGTTTATATGATTATAGTAAGCGTGCTGTTAGTTAGTATAGTTAAATCATCAGCTGAAGTAATAATAGAAAAGGAAAACTAGAATTAAAAATATTTATCAGAATAAAAAATTTTATTGTACCATTGGACGTTGTGTAGAAAAGAGTCGATATGAAATGAGGCGGTTTACATTCAGAGCTACGCAATAGGCTAAGAGACGTAGAATATGCTAATGGTTTGATCTTCATAACTAGTTAAAATCTAATAAACTAATAAATTAAACTAATGCGATTTTTTTCTATTGATACCTATAGCGTACTTTTTTTTTACTGCGATAAACTCTTTAAGACGAGAAAATATGATTTAAAATTATATTTATTTAATATATTAATAGTAAATTTATAAGAATCTAAAACTTTTTCCTGAAATGTGTGACGATTTCGGTACTAAAATTTTTTTTTTTGAGTGCATTACATTCTATTAGGAATACTGTCTATTGAAATTTGTAATATTACAACTTCTCATTTTAAAATAATTATAACCAAAAGCATTACAAATTTTTCCAAAATCTTTTCAGAACTGTATGAAACCACAAAGATAGACTATGCATTTCTAATTAAATATATATAGTGTATATAGATATAATAGTATGTATTGGTCACAGTTCTACCTAGAGAAACGAAAATAAAAATTTATAAGAAAATCGATACACGTAGATCGGAAGAATGGGTAATTAAAACGGACTCGAAGAAAACTTATTTATTTTGGAAAAGGTATATTGTAGCAATCTTTATGTACAAGTGAAGATTGGTGACTATAAATACAAGGGAAGCGCAACCCATGTTTGAGGCCCTATGCTCAACTAGGAGATGAGGATGATAGAAGAAGAAGCGACCCATGTTTAGCCCCTTATTAGTCAATAGTTACTGTTAAGCGTATATCTCTTTGGGCTTTCTGAACTGATTCTACGAAATTTAAAATATTTGTTATTTACTAAGACACAATAACATTCCATACCTACCATGTATGCTGGACATAATTATAAAAACCTTTTTAATTTATGAATAAGTGAAAACACAAATCTGATATTTCATTGTGAAACTCGCTCTAACACAGTCTTTATTATATTATATAACGTATCCCTTTTATATAAAGACGGATACATCTCAATCAGAACTGTTTTGTTTAGTGAGGCGTGATATGTCCTGTCATTTAATGGCTATTGATAAAATCACCATAATTACCCACACAACAATAGGCATTTTCATTTCATTATTGGACCTATTTTTCTTATTTTACTGCAATTTTGGTAATTACCGCAATTGTTTTCCGCTCATCCAAATTTTTCGTTACTGACATTGGCACGCATTGTGCCAATTTTGTGCTGCAATCGCACAGAATCATCTAATTGGTTTCCCGGATGACACCATGCGTACTAAATTCAACTACGCAAAAATTTGCGGAGAAATGGTAGCAGCTGCCCACAAGCCCATTAAGAAGACAGGAAGCTATTACCTTATCAGTGCGCATTTGCATTCATTTTGGGCGTTTTTCACGGCTTTAGGCGGCGTGATCATTACTGGAGCCATTGGCGCAATGCAGTCTTCTTTCAAAAAACAAAAACAAAAAAAACAAAACAAACCACCAAATGATTACCGATTGTTGGGAAAGGTATTTCAACAATAAATGACATTTTTTTTAATTATTCAGAAAAAGTAAAAAAGGTACACATAAGGGAAAGGAATTATAGCATTAGGGGAGTTCACAACAGAAAGTTGCAATTCAGTGTAAATATAGGAAGTACTTTGCTCTGCAACATGCCAAGTTGTTTTGCAAAAGCCTGAACTGAATGATATATGTTCACTACACAATAAATACCATACGAGTGATAGATTATATTATTTGTTATTCAGTATGCGAAGGACATTGTATGGAAATACTTTCCTTTTACCTGCCTTTTTCTGTACACAATATTTTTTAAAAGGGCACAAAATTAAAATTTTAAGCTGTGATATCTACGTTTTATTTTCTTTTATTGGACAATATGGATATGAGAACACATTGTAGAATTGGTCAATAGTCCAAAAAGAGTTTTTATAAAAAAATGAAATATCTGAAATAAATTCAAGAATAATGCATATTTACAGCATTTATAATATAAAACATAAAGTATGATGAATTATGAATGAACACATAGATATTCTATATTGTATGTTGTCTGTTAAGAATCACAGCAAAACAAAACACAATAATACAATTGCAAAAATTATGTACAAAAATAAAATAACTACCATATATATTTGCAACAACAACGATGTTGTTTTGTATGCTATATGAGCATGTAAAATATTCATTTAAGTGGATACTGTAAAATTATTAAGCAAATAAATTATTATAAATTGAACATTTGTGAGCTAATTAATAATTTTCGAAATAACTATTTGTGTAAAGAATATATCAAAATAGAAATTTAATTTATTTAGTAATTAGAAGACTTTCAACATTTAATTTACCTGTTTCAGTGAATGATATTAAGAGTTTCATTACTACTTTTTATTTTAATTATTACGTATGATTGTAGTGAAATAAACAACAGCACATAAACCTTTTTTTATATAATTTTCGTAATTAAGAAGACCTAAGTTTGGTCTTAGCTTGTATTAAACAAAACAAAAATCCAGGACAAAGCACAACATTACAATACTCAAGTTGAACACAGCATTTTTAGTCTACTTGATAAACAATGTTGCGGTTATGACTCCTCTTATAAAAATTAATTTTTATCACAAAAATGCAAATCTCAGTTTTAGTCAAACCAACAAACAAACTGGTCCTAGTTCTCAATACATAACATGTTTTATCAAATTCAGAATTTGAACACGGAATGCTAATACACTATCTTTAAGAATTCAGTATTCAACTGACACTATGGTGCTGATAGGTCACTAAGTATTAGAAAGACAAACAATGAGAGTTAGTCTACTCGATAATCGCTTTTGTCTATTTGTGATTACACATGTGATTATACATTTGAAGAGAGTTTTTGCTCCAATTGGACTTTCTTGGCTATACCCGTGCAAGAACTACTAGTATTTTGTGATTTGCAAGAATCCTAAAAAATAAAGAAAACCTTTAGAAAAGTTAACAGTCCAGTACAATCCAATACAGTCCAGTAGAGCAAAGTTTGCCTCTAGCACAGCACAGTTCAAATTCAACACAATACACTACAGCCTAGTACAGTTGAGTACACTCCAGTACACTCTAGTAAACTACAGTACAGTAAATTTTAAAAACTCTTTGAAATCGATATTGAGCGCGTAGTCAATGTACATATTTCAATAAAATGCTTCGCTTATGCTGTGTATATTGTAATTATCCACTTCACAACAAATTAAACTTTTATTGTTAAAGATATAAAAAAATTACTATCAGATATGTTTAAAAAAAATGTGTAAAATATTTTTTGTTTCAGCCTTAAAAAGGTACATAATTACCGGATTTTTTGTTCCCGAAAGTTTGAAGTACATTTTGAAGGGAGGCAGCTCAGACACAAATTCATTTTGCGCTCATTAAATATGCAAATTTTTAAACCCTTTTCGTTTAATTTTTTGTGTAAACACTTAAACTTGAAAATCCTTTTGTTGTTGTTTTTTTAAAGGGGGTTTTTTTGATGTCTCTAAAATATACCTCACACAAATTTAAATGGGGAGTTTAAGTTGATTTTCAAACATTTGTGTTCCTGAAAATTTAACACATTTTCAATTCTCAAAAAAGTTAAAGGTCATTAGGTGCTT